GTAAAAATTAGGAAATTTGCCAGGTAGCAAAATTGATTTGGGTGTGGAACCTGTTCCATAAGTAATTTAAAAGCAGAAGGGATTGGGCAATTGAGAACAGCGTGGAAGAAACTGTCCTGTGTTGTCTGGGAGTAGGCTGGATGAGCTAGTCAGTCTTTTTCCATCATTGATTTCTGTAATTGTTTAAAAAAATCTATATATCTAAGAGGGAGGCTGAACAGCCAATCTTGCCTAACTTTCCCATATTGATCAGAACAATGTTGGATAAAGAACAAACAAAATGAAACAAAAAACAGACAGGAAGTCTCTTGAACCTCTCTGCTTGTGAGGGGAACTGAATACATTTGTCTGTTCAGGTAGAGAAAGATCCAGGCCTCTCTATCGAGAGCATCATTCCTGGAGCAAAGACAGGGTTAACTCTGAACAAAGAAAAAGTTTTTTATGTTTAAACTGCTTTTACGTGGTCTTTCTTTTGGCTTTGTGGGAGACAAAGAAATTGTAATCCTGGTGACAAAATATGCTGCATTTGGGACTCTGGTGACTGAAGTGTCAACCACCATACTGTCGTGCCATCCTCAGACTTTTTCTTGAAAATGTGGCTGAGTTTTGATCAAGGCTTGTAGTCACAGAAGCATAGGTGCAATCCGCCTCTCTTCTGAGGCTGTGAACACTGATGGCAGGTGTGATGTAGCCCTCCAGGACTGGGACTGAATTCATCAATTGATTTCAGCTGGGCCATTAAACAGAACTGCAATGTTGTATACTACAAAAATGGACAGAGGTGAAAAGTTCTATAGTTCATTGCCAATCCCCAGAGAGCCCCAACATCTATCTTTCCTCTCCAAAGAATGCTTTATTCTAATTACATATCACTTTATTAGGCAGCTGAAGCAAAGTGCATATCTGATGCTAATGAAGCGCTGCTATGTTTGAATGCGTAACTATTTTTGGACCTGAATATCTTCAGCACTTTTGATTGGGTGGCTTTGGCTTTAGATTTCTCTAGTTTCTTCTGTGGGCGATATTCTTGGTGAAAAGCAGTGACTCAGCTAGTCAGGACTGTTGAATTGTTTCCATGTTGAGAATGGGAAGCTGCAGAATAACAAGAACACAAAAACAGCTCTTTATTTGATAGATGTACTGTCCAGGCAGGGGAGAATTTATTTTTTAGCTTTTACGGATCCTTCTAAATATTCACATTGATTCAATGGCAGTGATTTTGAGCATGCTTTTGTTTCCTTGTTATCCCCATTCATGGCATATTTCAGCAACACCAAACATAACTTTCCACAGCCTTTAAAAAAAAATGATGAAAATGGACTTGGACAAGCCCTGGTGGGACTTCTAGTTTTCAGGCTCTGCCTCCTCATTGAAGATAAAGGTGATTGCAGTCAATTCCTTTCTTGCTTTGCTGCAGGAAATGGAGCTCTCCAGTGAGCTCAGAGTGGGTTGGGAGCCAGGGCTCCTTGAGTTCTGCCTCTGATATTTTCTTGTTTTAAGTGTCACTTATCCTTGCTGCTTCCATTTTGCCATCTGCTAATTGGCATAATGTCCACCTGTCCCCCAGATTGTATGAGAGAATTGTGCATAAAGTGCATAGAAGATGATGAACGCCATTATCATACAGATGAAGCATTTTGATGTAAAAGCAATAATCGCTTTACAATTGGTTGAGAAATTACATGGCAACGTGACCATCGGGCAGCTAAAAGTGCAGGTACTATTGTGTTACTGCAATTTTCCCCGCTACTAAAGCATTTTCATGTCGAAAAAAAAATCTTAAATGAAATTACTGAGAGGGCCTGTTAATACATTTACAAATGGAGTCAGTAGTTAATTGAAACTGGAGGGCATCCAGGCAGTATTTTGAATTCTGAAAGAACTAGAGCGTTGCATACACCTGAGCTGGATTTTTAACTGTGGTCAAATATTTAAATGATAACAATGACATTTTTGCCTTTGCCACTTTTACATAATTTCAACAGAACATCAATGTGGATAGCAGGGGGCAGAGCCACTTCAGTATGCTTTTATTGGTGTCCAGCATCTTCCAGAGCTAACCAATACTGCAAATGACCTTTCCTCAGGTAGTTTTTGAAAAAATCCTCAATGCACATCTACAATGCTAAGGAACACATCAACTATATACTATAATGTTGACAGGCAGATTTAAGAGAAATGGGGCTAAGGGGAAAAATGTATATAAGCACAAGAGATCATGTCAAATAATGAAGACACTTGAGGTTTTTGAGACCTATCAAAATAGAGAATAGAGGGGCGGGTTGGGGAACGCACGAGTCACTATAGAAAACTGGATGGCAGGCCCTGAAATGTTGACAGGTTGCAGTTAGGAATAAAGACTGCTCATCAGCTCCACCTGCTGCACAATATTTGCATTTTACTTAAATGACCAGAAACTAAACAGGACTGTAGTGTACAAGACAGCTTACTGCCTCTACCAAGCAAAAAATATCAATACCTTTGAAGCTGTAGGAGGTACTTATGAACAATCAGATTATGCTGGAATTTGGCAAAAAGGCTAGTTTCTAGTCTAAATACACTTCCTTGAAAATAGGTACATAGGTGGCACTCTTCCTTCAAACTCCTAAAGCAACATCCCCATCATGGGAAGAGGAGGAAGCACATTATTTTTGGAAGAGTTGGCATGTTGGGGCATTTGGTCAGGATACTGGTACTTAGATGGCTGCTTTGCAGGACTCCTTGCAGAGGTGGGTGGTGGCAGTATTTTAACACTCCTGTTTTAAACAGTTAGCATGTCATCCCCAGCTAGAAGACTACTGAAGCTTCTGTAGCAATCTTCCCTGGAGGTCTTCAAAAGGAGACTGACGCACACCTTACTGCAGTTATTTGACCCCAGCAGTCTTCCTGCCCAGAGCAGAGGGGCTGGACCCCATGATCTCACAAGGTCCCTTCCAGCCCTAAACTTCAGTGAATGTCTGTGTGAATCTGTGAAGTGGTGGGCAGATGGTGCTCTACCCAAATGCTAAGCTCATTAAAGCTTTAAAAAATACTCACAAATCATGTAGCAAGGACATGTAAGAGGCGCTGCTTCTTATAAGGGACCTCAATTTTTGGCCAAGGACTAAGGAGTTGTGTACCCATTGGAAAAATTACCAGCATAATTACACCATTGCCTGTGTGTGTTAAGGCTCATTCCGGAGCACGTCTATGCAACAATTTAATGGTTTAAAGTGTACCACCATATGTCCCCCATGTTAGCATACACTTTTGTACCCAAAAACTTGTTTTAACATCTCTCCCAACTATAGGTGATCTGATGAAAGATGTCTCTGCCTCGAATTTCTTGAACCAGCACTTCTTAACCTTTTTAGACTAAAGGCAGACCCCAGAAAATACCAGCTAATTTTTTTTTTTTAAAAGAAAAGTGAAAGCTAACAATTCTTCTGTTGCATAGAAGTCAGAAAAAGCTGCAAGTCACAATGCTTTTGACATTACAAATTCCTATTTGAAATCTCTGTCTCTCTCTCCAAATCATTTGTGGGTAATTTTTTACCTAACAGTGCTAAAATTGCACCCCCACCCTATAAAGACCCCACAGCAACCTGGTTGAGAATCACAGTCATAGGCCATCACTGGTACTCTAACCTTGTATAGGATAGGGCAGTAATAGAACTGAAATCGTTTTGTTATTAGATGGCCAGGGAATAGAATTTAGAATACGAGACCTCTCACACCGTAGTCTCCACAAAAGGCTTGCAAAAAGGTGGAATATGGCCTTTGTTTTGGCATTAAAGTTTGTTCAGTTATTGCAGTCAGTGGGAAGATAGGGGCTTACAGGTGAGCCTTTCTTCTTTCTGCCTCCCCACTTACAATTTCTAACTCCATTCCATCTGCTAAGACTATGAGAGCAAGAATTCGACAGTGCACTGATGGATAGGGAGCCTAGCTGGAAGGTTATTTCTAGAACCATGTAGGCTTGCCTTTGCAGAAGCCAAAGCTTTTTTAAAGTCTGAATGCGCTGCAAAGGCCACAAAAGTACATCCAAGAGCCTGACATCTATTCTGTGGGCGAGATGTACAACAGTGGCCAGGAAGTATTTTTAGATTACTTTTCCCTTACATAGCTTATGAACCTTTTATGATGCATCTGCCAAATGCCCAAGATATAGCTATCATCCTCGTATGCTTACCTAAATAGCTCAGCATTACAGGCCTCCAAACCCACCACTCTGATCCAACAAAGCACATCAGGCCAGAGAACTTGAAATTTTGAAGGATCGTTCTTTGCTTCAGTTTCCACCTCAATTATTGGAGAAGCCTGGTAATTTGCCAAACACCCCACAGCAAGTATGTCAGAGCTGCAAACAAAATTCAAGACTTTCCTTTGCTGCTGTAGAGAAAATGCAGACTCCCAGGAGAATCATAAGTACACTCAGTCTTAGGAATTAACTGCTGAGTTTCCAGTCAGGCAAGCTTATCCATGTCTGGGGGGTCCAGGGAAATAAGGAGACAATTCTCTTGAACCCTTAAAAAACCCAAGAACAAAACAATAATCCCCCATGTATCTGTCACTTGTATGTCAGAAGCCCTGAAATTACTTGGAAGAGATTCTCCACAGTTCTGTGCCTACCAATCACATCATTTTGATGAAAGTATCACTAAAATGTCACCTGAAAACTACCGCACATCATACAGGCAGCTCCGTCCATTTGGAATCCTATGCCGCAATGCATAACACACCCAATTTCAAACCAGGTTTTTTTAGTTCACGAAGAGGTCTAAACCAGGGTGGCAACTAGTGGCACATACACTGGGGAAGGGGCAGGCAAAGTGGTGGCAGATAATGCAGGGAACAGAAAGGAAGGCAGCAGATCAGGCAGGGGGGGGAAGAGGACTGGAGTGACATGAAGGGCGGATGTGGCGCTTAATTGTGACATGCCTGCCACGAAGGTTGGCCCCCACTGCTCTGAGGAATGTATTTCATTACAAAGATAACTAGCTGGAATCAGGTGCAGAGCCTTGTTTTTTCCCCCCACAAACTTTAATATTAATGTCATGCCTTTAGGATATTTAGAACACCAATTTGTGAGGATAAACTCCATTTGAGAGGGAGAATGTAGAACGCAGGTAGCCACGGAGCTGAGGCACCTTTTTGATTATTGGTAGAAGCTGTGAGTCCACCGTCTTCTGATCTGCTTTGCGTTGTTCTGTTATCTCGTATTTCTAAGAAAGAGAAGACTAAAGTTAGAATACCCCACAGATTTCAGTCTGTTATTCCTGCAGAACTTCTTCACAAGGGCCATTTCCCTGCCATGCCAAGGTTTTTAGCTGGGTAAAGCTTCTCAGCACTCCATTTTCAGGAGCTGAAAAAAGGGTCATTCCTTTTGAGCCACAAGGAATAGACAGCACTGTGATGTTTTACAAACAATCTCTCTTTCGCTCTATATCTATCTATATTTTTTCCCCCTCAAAGAATAAAGAACAGCTCAACAGCTAGAGCTAGATTAAATTACCAGCTCAAACTACAGTGCAAAGAGAGTCCCTAACACCACAATAAATAGAATACCTTCCATAGACAGGAAATCAATGGACAGCATATTGAGAGGGAGGTTTCACAACTCAACTTTATGTGCAAGACCAACTCCACCAATCTTAGGAGATGCTGTTCGCCTCCTGCTGGTTGTTTAACAGTGCAGGAGCTATTTTGAAGGCAGCACATTTTAAAATATGTGGATTCTCAAGTGTTGCTATCAAGGTTCCCATATGAGGTTAAACTGATTTGGCCTTCTATGCTTTTTAAGTTCTTTTTGAAAAGGTAGCATTAAAAACATGCTTCTAGAGGAAGACTGTCCCAACCCACTCCTTGCATCACTACTATAAAGAGGTCACTGAAGAGCCTTACCTCCTTTTCAGTGTCAAAGATCTCGCCTTCCTGATGCTTGGGCTTACGCAGCCTCTTCTTCTTGAAGTACACATCACTGAGATGCTTTGGAATTTTCACCCCTGTGATGTCAACCTTGGTGGAAGTGGCAATAACAAACTTCTGGTGAGTCCTGCGCAGAGGGACACGATTGATAGCCAAGGGTCCTAGCGGCAGACAAAAAAAATCCAAGTGAGTTACAAGAGCAGCGTTTCATTTCTGAGATTGCAGCTATCTGTGCTCTAAGGAAACTGAGTCTCCCTCATGGAATAATGTTCAGGTATAAAGCATATATTTCTTGCAGAGGAGATACTAAGCCTCATTAAAAAAAAAAAAAAATCAAAAACAAATTAGGACACCCTTTCTTCATGCTTTACAACACTAAAAGCTTTTTCTTATCTTGCTAGTGTTTCCAGATATTAAAACGTAAGTGAATTAATTTTCCTGGAAAGATATATATTTCTACATAAGCAATTCCATGCCATGTAATGCCCATTGTGATACTCAGACTGCCTCAGAGATGCATGATGTAGTCAAATGTCACAGGGAGATTAAAACTAAAAATTTAAAAGAGATTTCAGTGAAAAAGTTGCTTACCTGTTACAAGCAACAGGCCACTAGCAAGCTGCTTCAGGAAGATCACACGCTGGAAATGGATACAAGAAGGCATTAGTCTTAGCCTTGCAGTGTTAAGGACTGTTTACAGAGTTTAATATCTATCTATATTTAAATATATATCATTGATATATCACAACCTAAAAAGTAGAACCGTATCTACACTACTTGAATTATACTTTCTGCCAGGACAGTAAAAAAAGACTCATCCCCCAGGAGCCAAAACAAGCTATACTGATAAAGCATAATTTTGCCAATCTAACTGCATTCACACTACGGCCTCTCCCAGCAGACAGAAGTCAGTCAGTCAGTCATCTTGACACCCTTGCCCAGACAGCACTTTTACTGACTGCATTTTCTGTAATGAGCAGTGCATGTAAAAAAATTAGAGGGGGAGAAACTTTCCGTAGAAAGGTGAAGCAGCACCAGCTTTGCACCACGTGGCTCAGGTTTCAATGAATACTCCCCCCAAATAGCCTCTTTTTATGACCATGTGCGTTTGACTAGATACAAGCAAAAAATGCAAGCAGGGCAGTGAAAGGTCTAACTAGAAATTCTGTTCTAAAGTGTCAGTTACCCAAAGATGCTCTTCTTAGGATAAAGAAAATAAGTGCTGATACCAATTTGTCTTTTGATGTTTGGTTTGCTACAGTGATATTAAAAGTATGGATTTATAGCTTTCCTTTGCAATTCGTTATCCAGAATGCACGTTGCTTTATTTTGTTCTGCAATAGTTTAAATGTTGGGCCTTCCTTTTCCTAGTCAGAGATGGCAACGCATAGTATATGGTAATTAATATTATATTACTCTTGATATGGAGTCAGGGGTCAGACTTGTGTACCATTTGTAGAGTATGGGAACGTCCCTTTAATATTGTCTAGGTAATTGCCCAGTCATTCCTTTTTTTCCCCCTCCTAATTCATTCTGACCACGCAGAGTACAGTCTTGTTCTTGAAGCCTCCAGAAGGACCAAAGAGGGGTACTGTCCAGATAAAGCAGCAAGACAGCAGAAAACAATATGCATAAAATGAAGTTGCACACACTGAGCCACACAACTGGCGATGACCCTGACTTTATTTTAATGTGTCAAGGAGGAAGGGAATAATCACTAAGCAATCAATATAATGAAGTGCAAACACAGCATAGAAGTGTTTTTAAAAAGTTTCCCATTTACCTTGCCTCTGTGGCGACCAGTGAGAAGAATCAGAACGGTTCCTGGATTAATGCTACCCCGCAGTTTCCTCTTGTGTTGGCAGAAGGGCTTTTTGCCATGACTCAAGAGTTTACGAGGAACGTCTTCAGTTGGATAGTATCTTGGCTAGAGGGAACACACAACAAAATATGAACTGAAATATTCCAGCCTCTTTATAAAATAATTTCATTCAAACTGTGGTCTTTCCCCTTTTACGGATACTCCCTTTCATTTCATTGGGAGAGACTTGTTTCAACCCCCGCAGCAAGGTTCTCTTTGCTGCAGGCTAGTATTTTAAAGAAGTTGGCACTTTAAAGGCACGCATTTTGCAACATGTACCCAGCAGGTCGCACAACATGCAAAGATGATATTTGTGATCGTGCTTCTAATTCAGTACGTACGGGGTGCCAGAAGAGATGCTGTACTGTGCACCTTCTTCAGACACGTCAATTCAGAGAGTACACGCATCATCTCAAATAAGATGCGTGTGTATGTGTGTGGGGAAGGGGGTCTCCCACACATGCTTCACTGAAGACAGCAATATGTCACTAGATTGAGAACATACCTACGACAGAACCCAACACTAGCGCCCAGACAGCGTCTGCTGAGGGCTGCAAGACTGCAGTCTCATAGAAGAGAGCAACATAAAATCAGTACTGAATGCACTTCCCAAAACATAAAGGGCTAAAATCTCTTCCTTTTCATCAACGCAACTCAGTGTTCAGCAAGAGCAAACCTCTATTTATCTGACATCTTTTTTTGTGGGGGGGGAGGTTACCTTACCATTTTACGGACTTTCACCACCCGGTTCCCTCCATTCTTATCTCCACCAACTGGTTTGGTGATGGTAGCAGCTGCTTTTTCTTTCTTTTTCTTTTCTATCTGCACGGGAAGACAACAAAGGAACGGGTTAAGAATCAGAACAAGTTAACGAGCAGGGCTAATGAAAGATCATCAGATTCACCTAAAGAACCTCGTCTGCCAGAACAAACGAACGCACAGACAGCTTGTTTTCCACATACCTTTGTTTCTGGGGCCGTGTACTTGCGCTTGTACATCGCTTTTCGGGCGTACATGGCCGACCGGGAGTATTTCCCGATCCCTCGGGCCAGCGCAGGGTTGCGGCTGGCATGATGCTTCCTGGGCTTCTTGGCCTTCTTCTCGCCTGCCGCCTCCTCGCCTGCCATCTAGCCAATAGGAGGGCACAGCATCAGTTACAGCACGTGGATGGGCAGAGCAGCCAAGAAAAAGAAAAGAGGAGCCGTGGTTCAAGAAACCCCACGGGAACCCCTGTACACACGGAGACCAGGAAGGAGCAGCCCAGGGCTGCTGACTGCCTTGCACAGGCCGGGAAGACAAGCAGCGAGCATGCCCGGATGGAGGAGCCGGGGCCGGGCCGGGGAAGGGAAGATGCAGGCCCTCCTGCTCCGGCCGCCGGGATCAGCCATGCCC